AAGAACTTTACCCCTTGGCTGGCATTCTGACCACTGATTTTTCTCGCCTCCCAGTAGACTTCTCTCAGACTTCTGTACACACCCACTTATTGTTTTACCTTCCTCTGTAGTCTACATTTGTGTTGTTTCAACTGATTGTGACTCTAGAAAGTAGCTACCTATATATGGCAGGTGCTTAATAGATTTTCAGTAAAGTCAATGCATAACATATGTATAAACAATGTATGATCCTCCTTTGCATATTATAAGAGAGTTAACAGTTATTAAAATTTTGAGCCTCATTTGTTAAAAGTTGCTGTATGTGAGTGAATTTGTGGCAGAACAAAACTAGGTAAAATAATTTTTAGCAAGAAGAAAACATAATATTTATATGCTCTTTAACTCTGTTTCTCAATCAAGGGTGATTTTACTCCCAAGAAGACATCTGCTTGCAATAACTATCACCATGCAAAAAAATAAAATCAAAACAGACCACAGACATAAATATTAAAGCAGAAGCAACCTGCTGGAAGATAAAATAGGCAAGACCTTGAAGACACAGGCACACAAAAAGAATTTCTAAATAGAACCCCAAGTTCAAAAAAAATAGCATCAACAATATTTAAAATCTTCACAGCAAAAGAAATAATCAATGAGTAGAGATACAGCCTGCAGAATGGGAAAAATATTTTGATACCTACTTTTCTGACAGAGGCCTAATAAATACAATTTACAAACATCTCAAAAAACAGACCCCCCCCCCCGCATCACCCTTGAGTTTAAGGAACTGCTTGATTGTTTCACAGAGAGATATTTTTACAGGAGAGGTGGTTTGCTCACAACAGGGCTGTAAGCCAATGCAGAACTCACAATTTAAAGGCTTTCTTGCCAGGGAGTGTCCAAGGAGGCTCTCTAAATGCAGCTAGAGAACCTAAACTCATCCAGCCTGTAGAGTTAGGTTGTAGGCTTGTTGACTTCTATTACAGAAGAATTTTTGGGACTGGTCAGCCCTGATATATTAGGCAGAAATTTAAAAGTACATACTCAAGAGTGGTGTGCAGTCATTCAGAGAAATGAGACATGTTACAGTCCAAACCTGGGTATATTTATGGGGTCTTGGAGGTGCCTTCAAAATAGGTGATCTAAGATCTAAGATGTGCCTGTCACGATGTGCATTCCAACTATCTGTGGCTAGCATGCAAATTATTTACAAGTGTTTGAAGTTGAGATCTGCTGCCACTAATATTGCTCCCTCCTTTGGATGCAGGCCTGTGAAGGGGAAGCACAATTCACACATGAAAAGCACAGGCCTAGAACCCAATTTGTAGGCTTACTATTTCTTTAAGACCCTTAGAGCATTTTGTTTTTTGAGTGAATTTCCTAGAAGGGGGAAAAAAAGGCTTGAGTAACTTTGTGTCCTATACCTCCAGTTCTTTTTTCCCCAAAATCACAATCCCCAAATCCCAACTTCCCTGTCTACATTCTACCTATCTTTATTGCTTCTATCCTACCTCAGTTTGTCTATAATTTTCCAAGTTTACACTGGTGCAAAAGCAATATATATATATATATATATATATATATATATATATATATATATATAT